ATTTGATTTTAATAAAAGAGCGCCACACGCGCCCCTAGGTATTTACACCAGGGATAAATAAAAAAAAAAAAAAAAATGGACCAAAATATAGATACATATGATAATGATGTAAATAACACCAAAGAAAACCCGACTTCAATAAATAAATTTAAATGCCACTTAATATGTTATTCAACCTGCTATTCGATAATATCACAACTTCACGAACATGCATGCTTGGGGTTTAATGCAAGTCGAATTACAAACATAGTGCAGGTAGTATAGTGATAATCATTAATCAATTTTTTTATAATTAATGGTGATGTAAATTTTAAATTACAATAACTCTTGAACCAACAAACTTATACAAGTAAAATTATATTTGTCAGATTTGTTTTAACATGCTCTTTAAAGTAATAATGCCTTTTTTTGGTTTGGAACATAGCAGAGGACTCAATTTCCATGCAAAATGGTCGTTTTTGAAATATTTTTAATAAAAACAAAAAAACATGACTGAATTTTTTGTCGATCATCATTGCATAATACAATACAAAATTTAAAGATATGCTTTAGATGCTTTTATTAAAAATTCATCAAAAACGACCATTTTGTATAGAAATTGAGTTCTCTACTATGTTCTAAACAATAAGAATAAATACAACAAAGGTGTTATTACTTTAAAGAGCATGTTAAAACGAATCCGACAAATATAATTTTACTTGTATAGGTCTGGTTCAAGAGTTATTGCAATTTAAAATTTATATGTTTTTACTATTTACGCTACTATTAATTATAAAAAAATTGATTAATGATTATTTGCACCATGTTTGTAATTAGACTTGCATTAGACCCCCAATGCATGCTGCAAAGTCATGTGATATTATCGAATAGCAGGTTGAATAACATATTGACTAGCATTAGAATTATGCTATTTTACAAAAATTTTTAATTGTTGCCAGTGTAACAACCTAAATAACATTGTAGAAATCACTTTTTTGGAGAAATTAATAAATGCACTAATGACCTTAAATAACCTTGCATAAATCACTTTTTTGGGGAAATTAGTATGCATTAATTGTTTTGAATACCCTTGCATAAATCACATTCCTGCATAATAAGTTCCTGTACTTGAACTATTTTATGATATAGAATCATATGACTTTAACTCTTTGTAGAACTATACCTGACTGTGCCCATCCATAAAGGACTTAATAATCATAAACCTGAATGGTTTAGTTCAGAATGTTTTTTACCATATAAAGCAAGGTGTCAAAGAAAGAATAAACACCCAAAACCTGTAGTAATTGCATATTCATAAGATGTGATCAATCTGACAGAGAGTCAGGTTCACACTTGGAACCTATAATTTAAAAGCAAATAACTTGGTTATATAACCAGATTTAAACTACAATAAAAAAAATGAAACTTATTGTTGAAAAGATTATTGAATTGCTGCATTGTAAATTCTATATAATTGATTGTGTCAATAGCATCTGAATGCAACTCCATGTACAGTAGTAATGCAGTATGTTGTAGATTCATTTGCTATCAAATACCAAACAAATCCTAAAATATTAATTGCTAAACAATAACAGTTTTAAATTAGTGCCATTGTGTATTGTTCCTTCATCTAAAAATAAAAAATAGCATATAAAAAGAAAATTTATAAAGAGCATCGTATAAGTGTCGTTAAGGAAAAACCTATAAGCAAACTTGCAGGTTTTTCCTTGATGATACTCATATCGGATGCATACATATATATGGCATCTTAATTAGTGTTTGATATAACATAGATAATCCAAATAAAATCACAAAGAACTAATAAAGTGTAACTTAAAATTCTTCTTAAATTGCAAGAAATATATTTCCTATAGTGCATTTTTTTTCTTTACCAAATTTTCATTCTTTTTTAATTTGAGTAAAATCATCTTAATTTAAAGACTTCAATTAAAATATAACAATGTCAGATATTGAGCCTGAAGCTTCACAATCAGATGATTTACTAGAAATAGATGAAATGTTAGAAAATAATTCTCAGCCTGTAGGTTTTCAAACCACATCAAAAAATACTCAAAGACATAAGCATCATCGTAAATCAACTAAACCACTTGCAAAATGCTGGAAATATTTTGAAATAAAAGAAGAAGATTCAATATGTAAAGTTAAAATTAAAAAACTTAATAAAGAAGAACAAATTTGTGGAAAATCATATAAATACCTTCCCGGAAGGTCAATAACCAACATGAATTCACATCTTGCAGACGAACATGACCTGGAAGATTTTTAAAAAAAACAGGTAAATAATAAAGTCATGCTTTGTCTATAAAGAGAATTTTCTATATGTACACTAGTGTATGAAACATTGGTATATATTATAACTTAAAATTTTAAAATAAAACTGCATTGAGGTATTTTATAAAAAAATTTTTTATCTGAAATTTAGTATAAATTATACCCTAACCCAAACCTTAAACTCTAACCTTAAACTAACTTTAACCAAATCAAATTTTGTTTTCTTAATTTTGTTGTATGGATTTACAAATTATACTAGTATATGCACACACTAGTGCATATTTAAGGTTTTATCTATAAAATATAAATTTAATAAATTTATTAATAAATTTTAGAGTAATTCAAGTTCTCAACAAACTATTACCAATATGTTACAAAGTGTTGTCCCCTATAAAGGAACCAAAAAGCTTAGCATTTGTCATGCTGTTGCAGAATGGCTTATAATTAATAATCGACCATTTGAAGTTATTAGTGGAGAAGGATTCTGTAGATTTATGCTGCAAATTGACTCTGCTTTTTGTCACTCCTCTTATAAGGCATTAAAAAAAGAGATTTCCTTAGCAAATATAAATGCAAAAAAACAAATAAATGATCTTTTAGAAAAAAGTAGTAAAACAATTTCTCTAACCACTGACCTTTGGATGGCAAAAAATAAAACCAGATATATCAGAATAACTGCTTATTGGTTAAGTGATAAGTTTGAATTAAATAAAATCCTACTTTGTTTAGAGACAATGCCATACCTCCACACTGATGATGCTATTAGAGAATTTCTTATGTGTAAAGTTCAAGAATTTAATCTACAAAATAAAATTTTTTGTGTTGTTATTGATAATAGTAGTAATATAGTAGTGGCCATAAGAGATTGGAATGGTGTAAAAAGATTACCATATACAGCACATACCTTACAACTATCAGTAAACCATGCATTTAAAAAAAAGCATGAACAAATTTCCCGTATTGAAAGTTTGGTTAAATTTTTTGACTCTCCTAAACAAAGTTAGAGATTAGATACTGCCCAAATTGAAATAAGTAAAAAAAAACAAAAGAAATATCTGATAATTCGTCTAATAAATCTAAGAATCATAGTAATTTAGAAGATGAGCATAATGAAACAACAGATAACAATAAGGCCAATATTAATAAGTTTACACCTATACTATGAAATATTAAAGTTATTCCAACTCGTTAGAATTTCAAATTTCGATCATGGAAAAGGTTTCTTGAGCTGCACTCTGCAATTAGATGGCTTTTAGCAACTTTGCCTTTTCAAGATGAGGATGCACGAAAAGATAGTATAAAATTACAAAAATTGATGCTACAAAAGAATGAATAGGAACTCGTTCAAAGGTTAGTTGAGATGTTAGAACCTTTCAACAGTGCTACTGAATATTTTAGTAGTGGGAAATATCCTACTATAGCATCTATTCATCCTTTAATGGAGGCAATGAAAGCTTATTATGCAAAAAATATAGATATTAATGAATATGATAATAATGACAATGAAGATATAAAATTTTAAATAAATATGACAGATCAAGTATATCATAAGAAATCCCATTAGTAAGATTGTTTATTATTAATTAAATTATAGTAGAAGTTTCTTATATTATACTTGATTCAAATATCTATAATTAAAAAATTTAGTATAAGTTTTTTTTTTGATTTTAACAGCTAACCTACTTTGGTGTGTTGAGTATAACTAAGATTTATATAAGAAAAGCTTCTTCCTGCATTGTGAATACAAAATAAATTTCCAATTATATTATATAATTAAAAATTTTACTTTGTATTTACAATACAGGAAGATAAACTCTCTTTATATAAACCAGGGTTACATTTGACACATTAAAAAAGTAAGGCAACTGTTAAAAACTAAAAAAAATCTGCTAAAAAAAATTTAGCATGCAAAATAATAATTAAAAGTTATTACTCAGGGTCTTCACCTTGAAAATGATTTTATAAGACATAATAATTACTACGTCCTATAAGGTTGTTTTTAGAAAAGGGCCCTATTATACCAAAATTTTAATTTTAACTAACATATATTGTATATATTATATCTTCAAGAAATACCTAATTATGATTCAGAATCTGATTCATCTAATAAAGAAGAAGAAGAAAGTAACATATCCTCTGATGCACAAGAAAATCAATCAGATAATCTTAAATTAATTGTAAAAGACACACAAACAATTATTTACAACTCACTTTTTGAATATTGGGATCGGCCATCACAAATTTGTCTTCTTTCCACGTTATTAGACCCTTGGCTAAAAGAAATGGCATTTACAAATGAAGAAGCTCGCAAGAATACCATTGATGAATGTAGATACCAACTTCATCACTATATGAATGTAGCATCAGAAGAAAGTATTATTTCATTTAGCTTGATAAACCTCTCTTCTAACAATATGTTTAAAGACCTTATATTTGGTAAAGCTCAAAGGTTGCAAGAATCTATGGATAATTTGGATTGTTACCTTGACTTTAGGCAGACACCACTAGCCTCTCCTGATTATGACTCTCTTTTATGGTAGTGACAGCACCAAACTCAATTTCCAATACTTTTAAAACTAGCAAGAAAATACCTTGATGTCCCTGCTACTTCTGCTTCTAGTGAACATATTTTTTCAGATGCTGGTAATCATATTACCCCTTGACATTCTAATTTAAAACCAAAATTAGTTTCTCGAATGTTATTTTTAAAAAGAAATGATAATTTTGTTAATATGTTTCCTAGCTTTCATATATATAAGACAAAAGGTAATTAAGATTTAACTAATTTTTTTTTTATCTTAATTATAAAAATTTTGTAAAAAT